CGTTAAACCTCGTCTCTCTCTCTCTCTCTCTCTCTCTCTCTCTCGTCATGATTCATGTTTGTTTAGGTTAAATCTATTTGTTAAGGCCAGTTCAATTTTTGTCAAGGTCGTTGAGCTGTAAATAAGGTTAGGGCATGTGATTGTTGGCGAGATTGTAGATTAGGTTTAATAATTTGAGGGGGAGAAGTTAAGTCTCCACATAAGCACTGACCTAGGACGATGAAAAATTAGTTCGTGAAATTTCCTAGTTTTATTAAAAATACATACAATACATTAGATTTATATACAAAGGTGATTTCACTGTTTTTTGGTGTTGGTGGCGCTGATGGTCTTTCTTGGATGATACTTCTGGTATTCTGGTATTTTTGTTTCTGAAGAAAAAAGAATAAATTTGAGGCTCTCGGGGGAGAGCCACATTAATGTGTTTCCTACTACGAATTGGATTTTCTAAAAAAAACTAGTAGGTCATTTCGGGACTTACATATGGTTTAATTTTATTTCAATAATTCGCTTGCGCGTAGGTTTCTTTAGCAGTGGGAGGAAACCGGAGGACCAGGAGAAAACCCACGAGGCTGGACAGGCGACCCTACTGCGTGTCACGTACAAACGGGGATTCGAAACCACGCCAATTGACTCAATGACAGGCCGTATGATACAGCGCGCACGTGCTAACCATTCGGTCATCCAACCCCCCGGATTTTCTAAAAATGTGTTTGTTCCACATAATCGGGTTATGGCTAGGGATTCTTATATCTAGTTGATTTTATTTACTAACGGTTAGGGTGGAGACTGGTCTTATGTTCAGATTTTTATTTTTAGAATATGCAATTATAAGTTTCTGTGTGAAGATTTTCGGGTGATTTTCTTGGAGATCAGTATAGTGTTTTCTGATGATTTTGGATGCACTTGCTGCTGTTGCGCTAAATGGAACTACAAAAAGGGCTATTGCTCTAGCCGTATGAATATTCAAACCTGGGGGGGGGGGGGCTGTTGTTTTCAATTTGTCAATCCAGAATTTTTCTCTTGTTAGCCTAAACGTTTTAATTTCTTCTGTAGTTTCAAAGTCGCTCTTGGTCTTTTCTACGTCGGAGATAGCGTTTGGAGTATCCCCTTTCTCTTAGTTTGCTAAATACCAGCGTACATGCGGACTCAAAGTCGGTCTTCTGAGTGCATATCCTATGAAAACGGAGAATCTGAGAAGCTATGTTTGGGGTGACAGGAGCTCTTGAACAATTGATGTGTATCGATTTCTTTGAAAAATACTTTAGTTTCCAGTTGGACTGTGATTTTGGTGTTGCTACTTTTAAAGACGGTGGTGTCAAGGAAATCTATGCTGTTATGACTTACATTTGCGGTTAGTTTGACAGATGGATGATGATTGTTCAGAATGTTGAAAAACGTCCAAAATTCGTCTAGCGTGTACGTCCAAACTATGAAAACGTCATCTAGAAAACGTCCATAGAAATCTGGTTTTAATGGGCAGAGCGGCAGAACTTCCCTTTCCCACTCCGCCATGAAGAGATTTGCGTAACTCGGGGCAAATCGTTTTCCCATCGCAGTTCCGGAAGACTGGGGGTATACTTGGTCGTTAAAAGCGAAGTCATTCCTCATCAGACAAATGTTGTCGTCCGGCCTAGATGCTTGTGGGTTTCTAAGAAAAGCTTCCCTAACTGCTTCAATACCTGTGTTATTATCGATGTTTGTGTACCTGCTCTGTACGTCGATGGATATTAAAATGGTGTGTTCGGGGACTCTTAACTGTTTGATTTTGTGAATAAAATCGTAAGTGTCTTTTAAGTAGGATGGGTGTTGGCATGCTAGGGGTAATAAGAAATGGTCTATAAATTGTGATACGTTATATGATTCGCTGCCACAGTCTGATATTATTGGGCGTCCCTTGGGTAATTTATTTTGTATAAACCATTCCGTTTCTGGATATTTATGTATTTTTTGTAGCGTATAGAGATATCGTTGTGGACAGTCAGATTTAGCGGATAGATAATCATATTGTTTTGCTGTTATGTATTCCTTGTCCTGCAATTCATGTAAGATGTTGTTTATTAAGGCTGAAGTGTACTTAAAGATGGGTTGGTCTAATTTAGTGTAATGTTTAGGATTATTTAATTGTTTTTCTGCCTCAGAGATATAGTCTGTGCGATTAGGGTTGGGATTAGCGCTAGCCCTGTTTACATCTCGTGACCTATGACGAAAGATTGAGTTGGCCTTATCATTTAGCACTAACCTGTTTATTTATATTAATACAAGAATTATGGGATTTATTGCGGAAAAGCGTGCAACTCTTACATGTATTGGCCAAAGATACTGGATAGTCAACCACATAAAAAAAAACGGTTACGCATGGGCAATGGAACTTTTCGTCAATTATTGACAACGGTCCTAGATCCTCCCTAAAGACCGAGACTACTTATGTGAGAGTTTCGTCACTGCAACAGCAAACAGTAGAAATTATTGTATAAGGTAAAATTACTGAAACGAATCTGTGTATTAAAATAATGTTTTCTTTACATGCAGTAATGACCATTTACATGTTTGCGACTTATGTGAGACTGTACGTAACTAATGTTCGAAAACTAAGTGGTAGCTTTTTTCCCCACGGGTTGCGGGCAAAGGCTAAAAAAACTGCCCATGTGTACAGGCCTTGTAGCGAGTGCGTGGTTGTCAGAATGGTGGATGCCAACCGATCCCATGATATTTTGATTGACACTGGTGTCCAGTAAGATTGCCTTGCTGAACATGCACGGGTTACAATCGTGCGCAGGGGCGTAAATGTGGGGGGGCCAGGAAAAAAAAATAGTCGTTCGCAAAATCAGTGCAGTCGGTCGCAAAATAAGAGCAGTCGTAAAATAAAACAGTCGGTGTCAAAATAAGTGCTGACTGCACACGTCACGCTACTCACGCAAAACTTTAGTATAAAATAACCTTGTCAACTTAATGTGTTTCACTCTTATTCTGTTGTGAGTATGTAGGTCTAAGAACAAAATTTCCCCCAGGGAGAAAAATAGTCGGTCTAAAAATAAGTGCAGTCACTGCAGTCGGTCTCAAAATTATGCATCGCCGTCTTATTGAATTAATGAGGTAAACAAATAATGCCAGAATAGATACCAAAGTCGGTCGCAAAATCAGTGCAGTCGGTCGTAAGATATGAGCAGTCGGTATCAAAATAAATGCTCACTGCACACGTCACTCTACTCACGCAAAACTTTAGTATAAAATAACCTTGTCGACTTATCATGTTTGAAAAAAATGTTTTTCACCCCATGGCAAAAAATAGTCGGTCTCAAAAAAAAGTGCCCTCAGACGCAGTCGGTCTCAGACTAAATGAATTAATGGGGTGTTTTCTGACCATCATAATTCTGCAAAATCTCTCCCCAAAGTCCAGGGCATTTCAAAGACCAAGTAAGCGCCCCATTGAGGTAAAGTGCCCTCAGACTCAGTCCTCAAAAATTAAAAGCTCAGTTACATATCGGCGCTCAATTCCATTATGCCATCATTCTTCAACTCCTTCTCTGACTTTTACTATCTCATCACTATCATATTCACAGTTACAGTGAATCGCCCAGTAGTAATACCACTAGTGAGTGAGTCGTGGGTCAAAAGACTGTAGAATTGTTAGTTCTACTCTCCCAAAACAGATAGTCCTCAAGATTCTGTCCCATTTCTTATCCTCTCGTTAACGAGAATTTGGATCCATTTGCCATGACATTGACTAAAATTGTCAGGCCCAGTCCCAAAAATTAAAAGTTCGGTTACACATCTCAAATTTTTTCGCGCCTGCGGCGCTCGACTCCATTATAACATCATTCTTCCACTCCTCTGTTGTCTTATACTGTCTCAGCACTATCATATTCACGGTTATACTGAACTGTCTAGTTATGTTAGTAGTACCACTGGCACTGGTGTGTGGGTCGTGGGGCGTCAGACTATACAAAAGTTATGTCAACTCTTGCAAAACAGGCGGAATTGACTGTGGCAGATCTCGAGATTTTGTCTAATTGACTCACATTTCTGGCCCCCTCGTCCACAAGAATTTCTCCCAGCAATGACCTCAAATGCCAAGATATTGACTCAATTTTTCAAAATTTTCTCAGGTTGCTCAGTGTTATAGGCACAATCATATATGACATAAACTTTATGTCAACTTAAATAAAAGTGCTTTCCAGCGAGACAACGATCGGCAAACAACTATATAATTATACAATACCATCTATGTTCTACCGGGACGCTTACTGTTATAGCCAGTATTTTGTTGACATTCATTGTGGGGTGGGATTGTGGCTGAGGTGGCGCCCTAGATTTGGACCCCCCACCCCTATCTAGATCTGCTACTTCACATGGCCCCTACAAAACTCGCACCTGTGGTGCTCGGTTCCTGATTGCGTCACTCGTACTAGGGGTATGGGCATCAGTTGGTCGCATTTTCGCGAAACACCCCCCCCCCCAAACAAAATCGTTATGTACGCCCCTGATCGTGCGAGACACTTTCCTACACAATAACCATTTTTGTGCCGCCACACACCAATGTGTTCGCCCGTGACAAACAGCAGACACCTGCTTCCATCCGATCAATGGATTGCTCAACACCTTACCAGACGTATCTGGGATGGTCGGCGGCCTTTCTTGGGGCCAAGTCCGGCTGCTTTCGGACAGTTTCGCAACGTCCTGGTGGACATACGGCGATTGGGGAACTATTGAAGCTTGAGGATGGAACTCGTTGCAAATGGTTGATGTTCTATTACTAGGCAAACCAGCGTCTTGTTATAGCTTTGTGACGCCAGGTGCCTGTGGTTGGAGGATTGCAGTCATTCATTGTTAAACTCATCATTAATATGAAACTCGAAAGCAGTTGAGGCATAATTTGCGTCATTTTCTCTAGGGGTGCTTAGTTCCTTGGGACTTCCTTTATAATTGACTAAAGATCTTTTTTTTGAGATCATAAAACATCATTTTATTACCAATAAAGCTCATTAAAAATCAATCAATTAATTTTTAATTATTTATTCTATTCATTTATCAGAAAAGTACACAATTTTTAAATGATAATACAAATTGATTTGAGTATTGAGAATGTTTTATTTACAAGATAAATGTAACTATGGCACTTGTTATGAAATATGGAAAAAAGATGACATTGGTCAGATGGACATCCTGTGTTCAGTTACATGTCTAGCTCACCGTGTAATCCATAGTAGTTGGTTATTAAGACACCGGTATAGGCATCATTTGTTTGTAAGTTATTGTCCATGATAAGCCTACACACATAAGTCTATAGTTGGCGGTTCCTTGTGTCTAACTGTTTTCAAGGACCACCGATGATATAATTCACGTATTGAATTGTTATAATGCATATACTGGCAGACCTGGTGATAACAGTGGCTTTTGATCCCATTACTATGCGTTCAATCTATCTACAGGCATTGTTCGGGGTAGATAGTATCACAAACTAAGTGTATACAATTTGCACTATTTTTTAGCACTAGCGTATTTTAATTGAAAACCGTCTATATAAATGGCAAATGTGCAATTATCACAGAAAGCTGATTAATGACTATTAAACATTGTACAAGATTAAGCTAATCTTTTCTTAGTTCATTAACACATTTATATCACAATAAAAACCTTGCAGAATTGCAGAATAACAAAATTCTCGTTCTTTTAAGCTTTATTCTATCACAGTTATCGCCCCTTTATATATGACGCCATGAACAGTGTTGGGTCATTATAAAGGCGGCTTTAAGAGAGCAGTCATAAGCTGAATATTGTCTTCAAAGGACTAATAATCAACCACCAATAAAGTTTCTCTCAAGTTTCAAAGCACCACACACTTTCATGGACATCTTGGAATGGTAAATGGATTTTCTGCCGCACCCGAAAATGTTCTGACTAGCTTCGTTGTTAAACAGAAAGCGAATGATCGTTGATCAGATTATTCCAAATCGTTCTAAATGTTTCCGGATTATAACAGTTCGGCATCCATTTAAAACCTTTTTAACATTGTTCGTGTCCACAGCACACGTATAGTAATATTCACAGTTATGTTGGCTATGCCATTCTTTGTCATGGGGTTGAACGGTTTCTTTTAATTTTAATTCACCTTTGACGATTTTCTGTAAAAAAAAAAAATAATAAAAATAAAATAATGATGACTAAAATAATGAGAATAATGACGTACGTTGGTAAAGTTGGTTATCATGGATCACCTTGCCCCAAAATAATTTATCACCAATCTGATCGTACAATCTACAGATATAGATGTAACTTTACTTAAACTAAAATTTTCACTCAACAGAATGGTTATCAATTTATGGCAGTTATAAATAACCGAAAATAACTCACCATAAAAAGGTGCTTGATGTACACTGCGGTTTTCACAACTTCTGGGTCAATATCTGGCCTCGACGCTGAACGACCTTTCTTTTTATGAATATCACTTCCGCCTGGGAAAGACTCCATAAATTCTAATTTTTCACTATCTGAAAAAACAAACAAGAACCATTGTACTTCCTCTGTTTTTATAATCTTCAGTTCAAATCATTATCATCTATTTTAATTATATTCTTACAGTGCAGTCGTTATCCCCGAAAGGTTCGAATTAAACCTTAGACATGATATCATCAGCATAATCAGAATATCAAGTCATCGTGCTCATCTACCAGGGTGGACTATTTAATGAAGCTTCGAAAAGTAGTCCTCGGCTACAAAGGCCATGAGAGGATCGGTCGATTTTCGTCGTCTGAAATTGTGACCTATAGGCCTACGAACTCTTACTCTCATAATCTTTATAGCACGCGATTATTGTCTCAATTTAAATGAATATTGACTAAAGAGTGGGCACTTACTTGATGGGTTAAAAGAACTGTATTCTGGGAAGACATCCGGGTATAATTCATTCAGCTGCTGTATACTCCTCCCCCGTAAAACCTTTTCAGCTAATATATCAATTTTATTGATGAAAAGTAAAACGGAAACATTTCGTAAAAACCTGAAAATAGATAATGAAATTTGTTTAATAATTTGTATTCTGTAGCCAAGAATAGTATCAAGAACAAAACAAGAGTCGGCTACTGAAATCCAATCCTACCAGAGCAGTTGTTTTAGGAACACTGGACTCGATTTAGCATCCCCATTAGGGTTGGTACTGTTTATTGTTTATTTGGTAAGTGTGTATAGCTAAAAATGTATCTTACCTATTATTCCAGACTTGTTCAAATATTTCCAGGGCTTCTAAAAGTCTGTTTTTATCAGAATCCTCAAGTAAACATTGATCAAACGTACTGGCGTCTGCTACAAACAAAATGGCTACTACACTATCAAAAACCTGGATCCATTTCTTTCGTTCACCTCGCTGACCGCCAACATCGTAAACACTGAAATCAAAATTAGTGACGAATATTAAAGCAAAGTTTAAATGTACCACCATCACCAAAAAAGGCTAATGTTATGATTGATATCTTATTCCTCATTCTGTAAGAAAGTTGATTGTCATCTGTGTTTAGAGTTGTTAAATCATGAACAGCAAACCAACTATTTTGAGCAATTTGAAGGTGGACTAAGATGTTGAACTCACCTAAATTTAACCTGGTCTCCAGCATCCGGGACATTAAATTCTATATGCTGAATGGAATTTGTTATGGCTCGACATCGTAGAATATCTTGGTCATTTGGAATATAGTCATCACGACGTATCTCATCTAATCTGTCTAAAAAACTGCAAAAATAGAGAGAGAACAAAATAAATTCAAGCACTATTAAAGATAACACATTTTCTTGATGTATTTAAACTTAGGCTTTTAGAACTTTACATGAAACCAATTTATATGTTTGGTTAATTTGCATAAAATCTTTGAACTGATCCAAAATATATTTCAATAACTTACTATTTAGCACAGTCTATTAACTGATAACGATGCGATTGTTCATAACATTCTTGTACACCTCCATCAGACCATAACTGTTGGGTTTTCTCTAAGAATTCCTGGAAGACATAATATGACAAATGGGTAAACAAATATACAAATACACGTAAAAAATATATATTTCGTTTCGGTTTTTTTGGTACTTTCTTTGACCTCCCAACACTTGGTACAGTGAAGTATAGCGAAATTTTTATATATTTTATCAGGCTGTCAATTATCTGATGTTATCCTCATCATGACGCATTTAGAAGTTCATGATCAATAATACACTTATTGAAAATCCAGCTGCACCAGTTGTAATCTTAATAGATATGAATTTAATTTAACCTCGTTTTAATAAGTTTATTACATTATGTATATTAATTCAGATTTAGGTCAATTGTAACTGAGCATACCTGTGTAATTTCCTGTTCTGGGTTACTGGCTTCGCGAAGTACATATTCTAAACATGGCTGATTAGATTCATCTTGTAGCGGGATAGATAAATTATGCATGGCTCCAGCCATAGACAAAATGGCATCACGAATATTTCTTTTTATATCCACTATCTTAGATAATCGTTCACTGAAAATAGTTTTTAAAAATAATCATTAGCTCCAACAATAAACTTCAGCAGGGTATAAAGAAGTATGAATGTTATTGACTCTTCCGTATTGTAAGTCTTCTTTGGAGTAATGCAAACGGGGCAGTGTTTTAAAAGTAATAGTTTTGCAATTGGGATCGGTTAGTTGCCGGCTTTTGTCATATATATCACGGAGGTATTTCCTTTGTTATTGATATCTATATTATATACTTACTGATTATCGAAGCCGTTGATGTGAATAATCTTCATTTGTTTAGTTATTGTACTTTTACCAGATTCGCCCGTTCCTGAAATAACAATTTGGGGTAAATAAATTGAAATAACGTAAGAAAAACAGTCTCTTTAATATAATGCTCACAGAGAGATATGGCCCTTTTTATGCATAGGTTATACGCGTTAAAAGACATGAAATGTCACCTTCAACAAGAGGGCTATATTTTTTTTAAGCCTTGACGTAACTAGCACTTAGGATTAGTTGCATATTATCGCGTGCTTAATGAACCCCGAATCTCACCAATGTCCTCAAATGGGTGTTACAAATCTCCACCCAAGAATAACGTCATAGCATTTATTCGACCTTTAAAAGCCTTTGTGCTTGTGTATTTTTTCTTAAACTTCAGCTACTGTTGTGATAGAAATGATATCAACATAATAAACCCAACCAAGCAAGAAACTCATATTTTCATAAGTAGATCAGAGATATTAAATATGGTTTAAACATTTTATTCTTATTAATAATTTCCTATTATTCGCACGACTTTTCTCGTATCTTACGTTCATCTTTAGCGTGAAGTAAATCATTTTTGATACTGCGAAGTCCAAAACCTAGAGATTTCAAGATAGACATATCAATTTGAAAGACATAAGAAGTGTATACTATTATTCACGGGAACATTTCAATTAAAATTAATTGCAATGGTAAATGCATACCAAAAGTCGCATACATTTATTCATTGATGATTGGAGATTCTAGACCGATCAACGATACCCTGTCTATGGCACGAAACCCTTGAATGTCTCTTGAACTATGTAACGATAGAATTGCAAGTGTGTGCCATCTTTGACAACCTCTTCCTACTGAAACTCGAGAAACTATTAAATTTATTTAGATTTCAGCAACCGAGAGCCAGATCCCTAATTTTGTTAAATTCTATCAAATGCTAAAAGCTTTTAGGCGGAAGTTTAGCAAACATACCTAACAGCAGTAATTTTAATCTTTTCATATCCTCTTTATGATATTTATGCAGTAACCGGGTCAGCTGTTTATCTCGTAATCTGGCTTTCTTGGATTCCTCTGGTGTGTTGTAAAATTTTGTGGATTCCTCCACGCATGTACCAAAACACGACATCACGTGATCACGCATCTCTCTGAGAAAAGCTAACGTCTTTGACGGAGCAATTTTGGCGACTGTGTGTTTTACTATTTAAGCTGAAATTAGAAAAGACACGACATTAAGACATTGAAACCATTGCTGCTGAAAAGAAAAGTATACATGGAATTTCCACAATCACAGCTGTATCCGTACAGATACGCATGTCGCATAGTGTGCATATTATGTTACTTCATGAATGGTTGAGGAGGCTTTGATTGTCATTCCGCGGGAACAATAACCATAATCACCAAAAAAATCAATTGTCTTCCATTTCTAGATTTCTGTGACATTTGCAGTTCTAACAACAAAAGGCGTGGAAATTATACCACTGCGCCAGTGTTAATCTTTTTATCGGAAAACCAAGGATTTCTGGCATATTTTTCGTGATTTTTATAAATTATTTAACTAAATTTTTATTTCTATTAAACAAAAGCAATTTGTTTTTTAATATTGCATTTAAAAGAACACTGATGGTGTAAACTTGTTATACACTATTTGCTCCACCCTTAATGATTGATTTTGTCATTTTGTGATGTCGTTGCAAGGAAGTGAGGTTACGGTCGTACTTTGGTTAAGAATTCCATACCCTTCGACCTTTGTTATGATTGATTATGGGAAATTGTAAAGAATGGAGGTCAAGTTCAACCCCATAAAATACATTTCCTTCAGTCAAAATTCTAGAAATTTCTGAATAACAAATGTATGCTTTGATCAAACAGACTATGCAATAAACAAACGGATGTTTATGGTGTTTATTTCGTGTAATTGACACGTTTATGTGACAAGAATGTATTTAAATTAAAATCGTGTTGTTTGCCATTTCGATCCTATAATACTTCGTACATACGTGCACTAAGAAGATAGTGCAAAAGAACGTATTTGTTACTTTCCCCAGCTGCAAGTAGTAGCTGATGCTGTACAAGAGGCAGTATACGCTTACGTTTTATAGAGTAGTTTGCATAGCTAACACATTTTCGTTTTTGTTTTGCATTACATGTCATTACATTTTCAAATTCATGAAAAATTAAGTTAAATCTTTATAATGATTATTGGTCGGGAATTAAAATTTATTTGACGATCGTTTTTACTAATAGAGCACTTTTCACTTAGATTTTCTGAAGAAACAAAAACATTGTTAAGAAAAATAGGTCACACCCACGGAGATGTCTTTCGCGATTTTAATCCAATTATAAATAGTTTACTGTCTGGAATCTAATGTATGGTGTGTTGTTTTTTGAAAATCAAGAGTGTTTTTCAGTTGTTTTTAGAAGCATAGTTTTTTCAGAAAACTACTTTAAACAGAGCAAATGTAATTTGCATGGTCATTAGATGCATAGTGAAATGATGATGATGATCTAACCCAAACCTTTGATTCTATTTTATTCTCTTTTCTTTAGATCAATCTGACATTTAAAGTACACTTAATTGAATATTTAAATACTTACTGCAAAAATATATCAAGAAGTACTGTACAACAGTATTATAACTTCACCCACGGTTAATCCTTTTAATAACCTTTAATAATAACTTGATAATCTGTAGAAATTCATTTCACAAAAATCCAATCCGTTTATGGTTAATCCAAAAAAGCGTTTCTTTAAATCACTAAATCTAAGATTATTAACAATCCACTTCCTACGTATTCAGATTATATAGATAAACGGTACAATGGTATCACACAAGTTTTATATAACACTATGTCTGTATAACAGTAAAAGGTATATCACTCTATATACGTCAAGTTATCGCTGTCAACTACCTCGGTCTATCTAAGTTGATTTCTTTCTGCGCTCAGCTTTTATATACGACACAGGTATAGATGATAAGACAAACGCTGTTAACTGATTATATGATTATATCTACAGGTTTATTTATAATCCACCACTGACTCACGACTACAGGTAACACATTTCACCTGCCAATCATCATCACTAGCACGTGACAACACGTATACACTCACTAACATATTATTGTGTGTCGCAATTGCATCGTAATGGTTAGGATTGGAGAGAAGATGTGGGCGGGGTGGGGACTGAATGGAAGGCCAAAGCAGGAAGAGTATCTCAGTGTAAGCCAAAGGCTGATTGTTTTTTTTATCTATTTGAGATGGGTGGAAGTCGGAAGGAATCATTGAACGACTGGCACGGAGTTTGGCCGAATCAAAAAGAAGGCAGGGGAACTTGTGAAATTTTAGTAGAGGTTAAATCCAGGGGTAGAAGGGTAGTTAAGGGTGTTTTTATGGGACATGTGGGCAGCAGGCCGAGGTTTAGAAACATCTGGATTGCAGAAACGTAGTACATAATAGATCCTCACGGTAAACAAAAAATAAAGCTGTGTTTTACATGTAGTTGAGCAATGGGTTTTTGTTGTCGGTTAAAGAATTAAGGAATGGGTTGGTAGCGAAAATTTTTCACGGTTAAGATAAATGACATTTTTAGGGTTTTTTTTTGACTAGTCGTGCTAATGAGTGATGAGAAATGAGCTCTGTAGAATCTATTTTTATGTCGCAAAAGAGTTCCGATCTTTTGGCACGTAGGATTGGGTTCCAAATTTAGATTTTGTTTAGAAAACGTGGGCGTGGGGATCGAGAACAGGAGTGGAGCTAGGATTGGAGATGATATTTAATGCTGAAGCTAGTTTGGGAAGAAATTAAAGAGTTTATGCAGGATAGTTGTAGAATTGAGTAAATAGGTAATTTAAGAAGGAAATATGCAGTAGATCAAAAAATACACTGAAAACTCAGAAGACCTTGTTTATTTGGGAGGTCAAATTGACCACACGTAACAGGAAGTAAAAGTAGACACATGTACATGTATATCCCCTTTCTTGATTAATAATGTAGGATGTGGTGATATTTCATTATTAATATCATCATTTTTTCTACTACATTTTGAGGAAAAGTTCAGATATTCTTTCTCAAACGTTTAAATAATTGTCTCTCATGGGGGGGGGGGGGGATGGCCGAATGGTTAGCACGCGCGCGCTGTATCATACGGTCTGTCATTGAGTCAACTGAGGGGTTTCGATTCCCAGGTTGTACGTGACAAGGAGTAGAGTCGCCTGTCCAACCTCGTGGGTTTTCTCCGGGTCCTCTGGTTTCCTCCCACTGCTAAAGACCCCTACGCGCAAGCGAAATATTGAAATAAAATTAAACCATGTGTTAGTCCCGAAATGACCTAGTTTGTGTCGAGTGGACGTTAAACTCCATTTCTCTCTCGTCTCCCATAGTCATAAATATTAAATCAACTCATTGAAAAGAAATTATTCTGTATGTTTATATCCAGATATTTTTCCACAATCATCGGTCTCATTTACAGAGAGCCTTAATGGCAGATAAAGGAACATGTAAATCAAGAAGCCTTAGGTTAAACAGTGTAATACAACAATTTATAAAATATGAAGCCACATCCTGAATGGCGTACACGTAAAAGAGCCCTTGACAGTTGGAATTCGAAATAAAAGTAGGCCGTAGTGGAGCTGTCCGGGCATAATTTTCCTCATAGCATGGCGTGTGCCCGTCTTCATTGGCCCACGGGTTTCTGTGTCTGTGGTGCGGTTCTCCAGTACGTACTAGTAGGAAACAAATTTCCGAAATAGAGTAAGGTATTTGATTAAGAATACATACATGATAGTTGATGTCTTTACACAATTTGAAGTTTTGAAATAAGAAATTGTTCTATAATAGAGTTCTATAATTGAGGTTTCCTTTGTGTGTTTGCAACTGATGACGCAGTTAAACATGATGTCGTGGTTGATACTACTGCAGGTGATCATAATGATGATGGTGGTGGTGGTGACGTACACGGTGAAATTTGGAGAAGAGAGCAGGCCTACTTGGGGAACAAATTCACAATAGTTAAGTTGTTATGCAAGCAGCGAACAGTGCATCAAAACTAAATCAAGTTTATTACGTAGGTTTACACTACAGAATATTAAAATGTCGTACGACGCAAAGCATTAACAAAAAGGGAACGAGTGCAGGTGTATGGAAAAATAACCTCTCAGTGACGTTTCTGATGAATTATAAATTATTAGTTTAAAAAAACACGTGTATATTATTACAGTCGTGTAGCGCCGTAAGTCAAGGTGGTAACCATCACCCCGAGTTCAAGTAGACACGATATTACGTATATCTTACATACCGCATAGCCTAGGGTAAGGGCTGGTCATTTAAAACATCAACATGTCTAAAGTAAGGGGTTGAAAACAAAACTTAGTGTGTCTGACCAACACGAACTGGTACTATGTGTTATTATTTGAAAAATGTAAACAGCACCCGTTCACTGAATTAAACATATCAATCAAATCTCTTCAACTCAATGGTCTCTTTTTAATACAAAGACAAATTTCATGATATGATTATTATAATTATTTTATTTCAAGCCTCGTGATGTTTTATATAACGATGATTGTTGATGATAGTTATGTTTTAAAAAAAGAACCACGATCAATCATAAAGCTTTTAACAAATTTGTTTATTATTGACGAATACAGTAATAGTATATTAATAAAATAAACCCAAGTACAAACAATCCAAACCATTAGACAAAATAACCGAATAGTTTATAATTGTGATGAAAATATTTTCAGTTTGATATTTTGACGCCTGATGGTCACGGTTTTTGTTTTTCCATTTTATTTTTAAAATTTCAGATTTGTATCTGAATAGGGATTGGGGAACAAGCATAGCCTATATTAAACCCCTCTCCCTCTCGTTTGCTTCCTTAAAATTTCCTGTCAAAATCGTATACATCTGATTAGTATTACAATAGTAAAACTAAAACGCGGTACATGTATTTGGTTAGCTGCAATTTTTAGCCGAGATAATTCTTATCTACGGCTGCAATTGATACACTATTCGACTCTTTACGCAAGTAAAATTAGGTTCAGTTGCAAATTTGTCAACACATAGCATCATAGTTTGCATGGAAATAAGTGATTATGTTACAAAAAGTGAAGAGTGGAACACAGAAATCTTAATTTTATCATACCGAACAGCTTTTCTGTATTTTCGAGTGATATAATATGACGTGATTCTGGTACGACGGTCATTTTAACTGAAGAAAAAATTCGCATAGCAGTTGGGTTAAATCAAATCATATAATTATGTGGTAAGGTTTCACCTTTATTTCAATAAGAATTGGTTTATTATATGTTAAGCTATGTACAGTACAGTTTGGGGTCAGTGTAATTGGAAATTAAGGGAGTCATAGGCCAGTAACTTTTTTGTAGTCAAATGACTACAAAACTTGCGCAAAGGAAGGTCTTAGGACGGTCCACTACTGTGGCTGGATTAAGACGTAAGACATCAGTAGTGGAACCATTTCTAATATTTGGTATGTCATATGTTGTTCTGTTAAATATCCATATATATGCCAAAATGACGATAGATGTTCGAGTCCTCGGGAGTCCCGACGCCCTCGCCGAATTGCTTGTCGGAGTGCCCTGTCGCGGTCCCTGTACATGGGACTATTATAACAGTTTATCATTGTTTTCCTACATAACTTGTGTACAATATTGTTAAAAACACAAAGTAAATAGCATCTATATAAATAAATGTGGCAGATACAATATATATAGGGAATCCATACATAGCATTGGGCAACGATTGGACCACCACTGTTTCAGCCACTAAGCCTTACCCTAGGGTCCGATAGCTCAATCGTTGAGCTTGAACCGACAACTGCGAGACAAATGGGTGCCGTCATGGGTTTAATTCCGGTTGAGTGCTAGGAAACGTTAGACTGAAGCCCCGCGCTTTCTGTGGAGGATGACACTAGTGACACTGTTGGTGACTTTTGACGTCGAGCTTATCTGTAACCTAGCAGCTTCGACTACTTCGGACCCAAACCATGTTCCTGAAGCAACGACTGCGAGTTTCACAACATCTGGCCGTTGCTCGTTTACTTCACAATTCCCGGACTTATAGCTATGTTATCTACAGACACGTGGGCAGAAGCGTCCAGTCAGAGATTGTGACATCGCGACCTCCACGGAACCTTGACATTGAATGAACCTTGAACTTTGCAACTCGATTATCACAGGTAGACATTTTAGCTTGAATGCGCGAGACCTGGTATTCGCGACGATCGAGGAATCTGATAGGCTCACAAGTTGGGCTTGTACCCAATCGAAATTAGTGCTGAAATATATAGGGTATTACGTGAAGGCCTTGATAAGATGCACGTAGTTAAAGCGAGATCAAGCCTTCTATTGAAGATGATAAGATGTACGTAGTTAAAGCGAGATCAAGCCTTCTATTGAAGATGGACCCAAACGTGCAATAAACTTCTGATACTAGATTTGTTGAATTAAATTGGTACTTTGGGGATTTTCTCTGTTATCTTTTTCAAACCCACTCGTTCCCCAAATTGCATTCTGCATTATATTATATGTTAGCCTTGTGGAAGCCGTGTGTCATCGAAAGAGTAAGCATACCATGCTATAAGAAAGACATCAGTCAATACAATATACGAAAGTGCAGTATAATTTTGACATGGTTTTCAACCTGTTTTGCAATTCGTCGATAGTGACGTATAATAATACAGTAGTGTTATTGCTTATTTATCAATTTGCAAGTCAAATACCTCAACAAAACGTTAATATATATTTTGATCTGAGGTATGACGTAAAATAGATTGATACTTGTTATTGTAAAGTAAAATTCAGGATATAGACAATTGTATAATTTGTTTACCAGTGACAAAACAAGTGATACGGGTGTAATTTATTATATATCACCATTTGTACGTGTTGAAGACAACGGTTATCTGTCCTATTTCAAGACGTTTATAGAACATCGGTATAAAGCAGAGACAGGTCGAAACATCAACAGCCTCAACAGGTGCTTGTTAGCCCCCTAGGCCATTTGATTA